TAATCCTATTATGTCCCAAAGGTCATATCCTGCTTCCCTGGGGCTGGGGCTGTTGACTATGTCCTGCCTTGGATTTTTGGGGTGAGGGATTGTTGATTCTAGGGATCTTTGTCTTTCTAATCCCATCAGCTCTAAGCTTCCTGGCTCCAGTCTTTCTGACAGGATTATCACATCAGCATTTCTACAGATCTGGTTTCTGCTTGGGGCAGAGAGATTTTTTTTGGGGGGGGGGTTCTGCCTTTTTAGATCTTCTCCATTATTCCTTTGGGGAAATATAATATTCTGCCTTTTTTAATATTCCCCAAAATATTTCTTTCTCTGGGGGGGCTGACTTCCCACACAACTATTTGCTAAGCGCAGATTCCCAGATTCCATGCTGGAAAGATCTGATGTTTCTCAGAAGCTTTTCTTCCCAGACCATCAGATGGTGCCCTATAAAATCTTAAACAGCTCCTTCTGATTTTTGTTTTCAGAGTTCTTACTCTCCAGCTACAATATTGCCGTAGAATCTACTAAAAGAAAGGAAGTATGGGAAGACGTTCATGCAATGCTGCCATCATGTGGCTGAGCATCACCAATCAAACCATGTGACCGAAGTCATTCATGGAGTGTGAGAGAGTGATATGAACCCCTCTCAAAGTAGGGTTTCTCAACCTTGACAATTTTAAGATGTGTGGACTTCAACTCCCAGAATTCCCCAGCCTCCTTCCTTCCTTCCTTCTTTCCTTCGTCCCTCCCTCTCTCCCTCCCTCGCCTCCCTTTTCTTCCTTCCTTCCTTCCTTCCTTCCTTCCTTCCTTCCTTCCTTCCTTCCTTCCTTCCTTCCTTCAGTCCGTCGGAAGAATCTAGAGAAAGAAATATTTTGGGAAATATTTAAAAGGCAGAATATATTTCCCCAAAGGATCTTAAAGGCAGAAACCAACCCCACCCCCCACAAGTCTCTCTGCCCCAAACAGAAACCAGGTCTGCAGAAATGCAGATGTGATAATCTTGTCAGAAAGATTGGAGCCAGGAAACTGGGATTAAGATAAGATAACCTTTATTGTCATTTTTATACTGTGGGCACAACGGCACACATCAAAAATGAAATTCAGTTGCCCGCTCTCAAAGTGAAACACATACATGACGCACACCTAAACATACTATGAACAACATATGTATAGACCCACATCCCTACATATACGTAGCAAATAAATATTAAATACTGTCCATCTTGAATATATAATGGAAGGAGGAAGCTTGAGAGTTCACAAGGTTAATGCTGTATGGAATGAAACTATGGCTGAATCTGGATGTTCTGCTTCGGATACCACGAAGCCCCCTCCTCCCAGAAGGGAACAAGCAAAACAGGTCGTGGAGAGGATGTGTAGTGTCCCAGATAATCTTACGGATCCTGCTCAAGCAGCGCTTCTGTGCTATGTCCTGGATGGGAGGGAGGGAACTGCCAATGATCTTTTCCGCCATCCTCACCACTCTCTGCACCGCCTTCCTGTCTGAAGCAGTGATGCCTCCAAACCAGACTGTGATGCTGTATGACAGGATGCTCTCGATCGTCCCCCTGTAGAAAGTGGTCAGGACAGGGGAAGGAAGATGTGCTTTTCTCATGCGGCACAGAAAATGCAGGTGCTGCTGTGCCCGCTTCACCAGTTTCTCACTGTTGAGCGACCTAGAATCAACAATCCCTAGAAGGTTGTTAGGGAGTGTGGTTTTTGGGTTGTCAGTAGTCGGTGTCAGGGTCCCTTCGTCCTATACTGGAAACCCTGTATTATCCTAATTGGGTCGTGGTAATCTTATGGTCTTTCCGTGTGAGTCTGAGTCCAGTTTCAAGTACGGTGTCCTTGTTGAGGTTTGTTTTCGGGTTCTTCCATATTTTTTTTGTGGTGAGGAAGTTACATGTGGTCAATTTTTCCAGAGCCATCTTTCTGTCTGGCTCTGCTCTTCAATAAGCTACAACCTTCTTTCTAAAGCAGTCTCCATTTTGATTATTCCCAGCTTGGACTGGACCCTGATGAAGATTTTTCTTTCAACACTTCCTTCCTTCCTTCCTTCCTTCCTTCCTTCCTTCCTTCCTTCCTTCCTTCCTTCCTTCCTTCCTTCCTTCCTTCCTTCCTTCCTTCCTTCCTTCCTTCCTTCCTTCCTTCCTTGTTATGCACCTTCACTCCAATTGCCCTTCAGAGGAACAGAGTCTCTGTGTCTCATTGCTGATACACAACATTCTTTCCATGTTATAGGAGAGCTGTGTTGGCCTATAGTGGCAAAAAACCTCCGAAGGAATCCAATGGCACATTTTGACAACCAAATTTTATGAAAAGGCTATGATTTTATGAGCTGCAGCTCATTACATCAGAAACAAAAAGTGATTAGATTACGTCATTTTAATGATAAAATTATATAAATATAATTATAAATAAGATCAGAAGTCGCTTGTTTGCTTGCTTATTTATCTGAAATATTTGTATACCTGCTCATTTTATAACCAACTCTGGGTGGCTCCAAATCAAAATTTTAAACAACATAAAAGCCATATTAAAACCATAAACTCTAAACACATTAAAAACAATTATATATCTTTTCTCTTCTATTTGTATTTCTTTTCACACTTTTCCTGCTTTTTGCTTCACAATATTCTTCTTTTTTTGATTCTTACTATAAATTTAAGATATATAATTTCATGTTTATCTTTTCTCTCTGAAAAAAACAATACATATATAACAACATATACATTATAATATAAATATAATAATTATAAAATATATTGGCCACCTAATGAGAAGGAAGGACTCCCTGGAGAAGAGCCTAATGCTGGGAAAGATGGAGGGCAATAGAAGAAGGGGACGACAGAGAATGAGGTGGCTGGATGGAGTCACTGAAGCAGGAGGCGTGAGCTTAAATGGACTCCAGAAGATGGTAGAGGACAGGAAGGCCTGGAGGAACGTCGTCCATGGGGTCGCGATGGGTTGGACACAACTTCGCAACTAACAACAACAAAGGGCAAAAGAAAGCACACAGCAGAATTTGCTCTGCCCCTCCCCTCCCTCCAAGAGCATCTATTAAGCTTGAAACCAGCACGGTCCCTTCCTTTAGGTCAGAGGTGTGGCTGCTCCAGTGCTTTGTGTATTTCTCAGAAAGTGTCTTCTACTGATCTGTAAGTCATTATTCGGATAGGGTAGAAAGCCCATGGAACAAGCGCAAAGATGGCAGGATGCTATGTTTGGCTTTGCAGTGTCCGAGAAGGAGAATGGACTGACCTCCACATACTTACCACCATCTTGGCCCTTTTGCACATGTGTTTGGCCCCCAACCTTCTTGCATTTTGCAAGCAAGTAAAGTCAGCTTTGGCCTGTCCAATTCATTTTTTACAGGCTTCACGGTAGACCCGACTAGAAAATGAGAAATCTAACATGCAGACAGCCCAGGTTCGAATCTCAGCAAGGGTATGTCTGGCTGATGAAAACCTAATAAGGTTAGAAATAGCTATCCCAGTACTCCCTTAATTCTTTGTTAGCAATCCAAATTTTGAAATATATATGTGCAATATCTCTCACTTTTCTCTCTCTTCCCCTAGAAAAGCTACTCACGACAGCTTATCAGTCATCAAACAGAAAGTCAAAGACACACATCTGTTGATGTTTGCATTTTGTAACTTTCTCTCGGTGTGGCTGTGATTGCCTGGAAAACAATCAAATACTCTATTTGCACAACATTGTTTAACTTATTTGGGAGGATATATAAGATAAGGCTGGAAAGGAGCCACGCTAGACTATGGTGACACAAAATCAGGAATTAGGCAGCACTCTTTCTGACTCCCCCCCCCCCCGTGTTTGTGCCTTTGAACCAGTTTAAATTTCTGGTAACTTTCAGAAGTGGTTTGGCATTTCAGATTTCAGAAGTGGTTTGGCATTGCCTCTTTCCCAGGGCTGAGAGACAGAGTCTGGACCCAAGGTCACCTAGTGGGCTTTGTAATAAAGCACAACTAAAACATTGCTGAAGCCTGGAGCCTTAACCACCCCACCAAACCAACTTTCCAGCTAACCCATTTCATTAAAAGGCTTAAATTTCCATGGGCTGCAGTTCCCATCCCCGGATGCCCAGAGCGACTATCCCAAAGCCAGCTGGCTGACCTTGGGCCAGTTTCGCTCTCTCAGGTCTGGGAAGGAGGCAATGTCAAACACTTCTGAAATCTTGTCCAGGCAGTTTAAAGTCTAGTTTAA